AGAAAAACAGAAAATGGACAAGAGCTCAATCCTCACGGGCAAGTCTGTTGCTGCAGCAGGTCCTGACCGGCCCTCCTGCTCCACGGAACCAGCCCTCCCAGGAAATGGGCCTTGGCTGGGGTAACGCCCGGACCATCGAGTGCCGCTGCCTCCCTGGCCGCCCAGCCTGCCTGGTCCTATACGGGCAGCAGCCCCGAGTGCAGGGCTCGGGCCCACCCCATAGACGCGGCTGATTCAGGGTCTGTGTTTGTGTTCAGGGTTTCCGCAGGGGCTCGCCCAACTGTGTCTGCCAGGCCATGCCCAGGCTCCGTGGTTCTCACCCTCATTTCTTCCTTCCTTGGAGCCCAGATCTTCCTGCTGCATTGCACCCAGTGTCCTTCGTTTTCTCCCCAAGGTTTGCAAACACCGGTGAGGCCCTATTCCAGGGATGGCGAACCTATGACACGCGTCGTGTCAGAGGTGACACGCGAACTCATTTTTTTGGGTTGATGTTTCTTCGTTAAATGGCATTTAAATATATAAAATAAGTATCAAAAGTATAAATCTTTGTTTTATGATGGTTGCAAAGATCAAAAAATGTCTATTTGTGACACGGCACCCGAGTTAGGATAGGGTTTTTCAAAATGCTGACACGCCGAGCTCAAAAGGTTCGCCATCACTGCCCTAGCCAGTTTGGTTCAGTGGATAGAGTGTTGGCCTGCAGACTGAAGGGTCCCGGGTTCCATTCCCCCGTCAAGGGCACATGCCTGGGTTTCGGGCTCCATCCCCAGTAGGGGGCGTACAGGAGGCAGCGATGCATGATTCTCTCTCATCATTGATGTTTCTACATCTCTCTCCCCCTCTCCCTTCCTCTCTGAAATCAATAAAAATATATTTAAAAAAGAAAGAAAGGAAGGAAGGAAGGAAGGAAGGAGGAAGAAAGACCTGGTGAGAAAACTGGTCTCTTTGCTCCATAATTCTTCTAAAAAGCTGTGATCTGGCCCTGGCCAGTGTTCCTCAATGGTTAGAGTGTCAGCTGTGCACCAAGCATCCTGGGTCTGATTCCCGGTCAAGGGCACGTACCTACCTGGGTTGCATGTTAGAGTCCCCAGCCCTGTTGGGCATGTGCAGGAGGCAACCAATCGATGTGTCTCTCTCACATCAACGTTTCTCTCTCTCCCTCTCCCCATCCCTTCCCTTCCACTCTCTCTAAAAATCAATGAGGCCCTAGCCGGTTTGGCTCAGTGGATAGAGCATTGGCTTGCGGACTGAAAGGTCCCGGGTTCGATTCCCATCAAGGGCACATGCCAGGTTGCAGGCTCGATCCCCAATGCGGGGCATGCAGGAGGCAGCCGATCAATGAATCTCTCTCCATCACTGATGTTCCTCTCTCTCTCTCTCTCCCTCTCCCTTCCTCTCTGAAATCAATAAAAACATATTCTTTTAAAATTACGTTGCTATGAAAAAAGCTCCCGGATTTATTGAACTTCGAGCCCCGCCTGCAGTTGCCTGGGCAGGGCCAGACCAAATGATACGGCCCGCGGGCCTGATGTTCCCCACCCCTGACTGAGGGAAAAGAGGTCAGTGCCCCTTACTACATAGTCAGGTACTGCACGTTGTAAAGGTACTTGTGACACGCCGGTTGAAAACCTCCGGTCTACATCATGGAAACAAGCCCAGTTCTATTTATGACATCTTCCCGAGGACCTGCCCATTCATTCCCACATGCAAATAGGAGCGGCCGATTCCTCAAAGCACCCACTGGTGATGAAGTCATCCATTCTGTGAACTGGGCGTCACGCCCATGAGCTGCCTCAGAGTCATCTAGCCTGCACTTCCCTCCTAAGGTGGGGGTGCCACTGGCACGCCATGGTATGAATGAGGGAATGGAGGCCCAGAGAGGTTAAGCAGCTTGAACCCTGGCTCCTTAGAGCCTCTGTGTCCAGGTACTACATTACTACATACCATGTTCTCCTCCCCCTCCTCCTCCTCCTCCTTCATCATCATCACCCGAGGAGAGTGGAAGAGAAAGGGAGAGACAGGGAGAAATATCGATGTGAGAGAAACGCATCGATGGGTTGCCTCCTGTACGAACCCCGACCAGGGCCCGGGCCGGGGAGGAGCCTGCCACTGAGGTATGTGCCCTTGACCAGAATCGAACCCGGGACCCTTCAGTCCGCAGGCCGACGCTCTATCCTCTGAGCCACACCGGCCAGGGCCCATGTTCTCCTTGGAGTCTAACGGCAGATCAGGGCAGTGGGCAGGAGCCGCTAGGAACAGTCATTTGCAGACAGAGAAAATAAAACCCAGAGAGGTTAGGCATCCTGACCAAATCTGTGATGCTAGGGACACCCCCAAAACTTGTGAGCCCTAGCCTAGAGCCCCTGTCACCACCTCCAGCTGCTCCCAGGACTGAGGCCACGGATGCTAAGGGTCATCTAACAAGAGGGATGGACAGAGGGGAGGATGACACAGTGACTGTCCCTGTGTGTCCCCTTCACTATGGCCAGCAGGCCTGGAGCGGGAAGACTCCCCTCAAAGCACGATAATCTGAATCCCCTGACTCTCAACCCACAGCCCCCCCCCCCCCCAACCCCCTTGGCTGTCAGTATGGCTGTGATGCCCTGCCCCTCGCCCCTGGGGAAGGCACCATCCAGTCCCAGTCACCCTCCCTGTCATCCTTGCTCATTTAGGCACCCACGTTTGGGAGGAAGTGGCTGGCTTCCCGGGGAAACACCTGTCTGGCCCCATTAACCTGAGCAACCAGTTTCTTGAACTCCGGTCTCAGAGGACAAACCCAGAACTCCAGCCTCCTGATGGCCAGGAGAATCATGGGGCTGGGGTGGGGAGGGTGGCCTAGAATCCTCGAGTGGGAGGTGGATGAGAGAGAACAAAGCCAGAGGGCAAAGGGGAAAGGTCGACCTCTCAACTGCTCTGCACAGCCCAGATCAACTCACCTCTTCCATGAAGCCCACCTTGATTACCCCATGCCCCCCCAACCCCCAAGCCCTCAACGACCTAGGGAAATGCTTGCTTCTGCTTTAACCACTGGTGTAAATTACTTGTGCCTTGTTCTTGTCACCCTCTAACATATTACATACTTGACTTAGCCATCAGTTTGTTTTTTGTCACCCCCCTCTCCCCCAGCCACACACACACACAAAATGAATGCAAGTTCCATGGGGACAGGCATTTTGCCTCTTTTGCTCACTGGTATATCCCAGCACCTAGAACAGGCCTGGCACATAGTAGGTGCTCACAGAACATCATTCACCCCTTCCTTCACCCTTCCAGAACATGCCCTGAGTGCCTGCTCCTCACCTGCACTGTGCTGTCTGCAGGGAAGAGAGTTATAAATGAGATGTCACCTCTGCCCGGCTGGCATGGCTCAGTGGTTGAGGGTTGATCTATGAACCAGGAGGTCACGGTTTGATTCCCGGTCAGGGCACATGCCCTGGTTGCAGACTCGATCCCTAGTGTGGGGCATGCAGGAGGCAGCCGGTCCATGATTCTCTCATCATTGATGTTTCTCTCTCTCTCTCTCTCTCTCTCTCTCTCTGCCCCCCCCCCTTGAAATATAATTTTGAAAGGCATTATAGGGAGTCAGAGGAACTTAGCCAAAGAAACTAAGATCTTCTCGCCTCAGGACCCCATGCTTTTTATTAACACACTCTTAACACAATTTGTGCTGAGGCGAGGTGGAGCTAAACACTTCAAAGGGTAGGGTTTCATATACAGTACACAGTCCATTGTCAGAATGGAAGAATTCGCCTGCGGCTGTTCAGGTGTCTGGCCAGTAGGAGGCAATAACATGTAGATTAAGACGCCCTGAGCTACCAGGCAGCAAGCATCATCCCTTTACAGGTTTGGGGAAATGCCCTCAACCATTCCCAACAGGTAACAACATGGGTGACTCAGCCCTTGTTGAGTCTCCAGGTTCCATCAACCTTTCGATGAAACTCTTGCAATTATGACATGCTGGAACTGGCTTCCGGCACCCTTCCTCTCTGAAATCCATAATAAATATATTTTTTAAAAAAAATAAGACATCGCCTCTATCCTAAAGGAGCTCCTGGCGCCCGTGGGAGTGGGTGACTCCAGAGGCCTGTGTGCTCCCACTCACTTCACCCCCAAAGGTCCAGCCCTTGCCTCCCTGCCCTCCATTCGCTGCCCTTGCTGTGCGCTCAGATATTTTTCATACCTGAAGTCGGACCTTCTTCTGGCTCTGCCCAGAGGGGCTATGCTGTGTAGTGAGGTCATACGGCCCAGTGTCAGACTCCAGCATGATCCCTGGCCTCTCTGGGAACTCAGTTTCTTCATCTGCAGAATGGGCTCCAATGTCCGCCCTGCAAGGGTTGCTGATCATTGGAATACTAGAGGCCCCGCGCACAAGATGGGTTGCCCTGCAGAGGGAGGCCCCGCCCACTGGCCACTTTGGAGCGATTACAGAGTCCTCCCCACCCCCACCCATTGATTGCCCCACTGGCCCCTGGCCTGGGCCTCCCTCTGTGGGGGATCATGGCCCCCCCACGTCCCCCACCAATCGCATCGCACCCGCCTTGGCTGGCCTGATGCCAGTGGATGTCGATTTGAATATTACGCTTTCATTATTATAGAAGAAGATGTTTAAAGGGTCCGGCCACAGCAGGCACGTAATAATTGGCCCCTCTGGCTGGCATTGTTCCTGTGGTGTCTGGCTGTGTCTCTTTAAAAAATATCCTATATAATAAAAGCCTAATATGCTAAGTGTCCAGTCATCGGTGGGCTGTTCAACCAATCAAAGGGTAATATGCTAATGATATGCTATTGCCACTCAACTTCTCGCTATGACATACACTGACCACCAGGGGACAGACAGTCGACATGTTGCTATGATGTGCACTGACCACCAGTGGGCAGATGCTCTGACCGGTAGGTGAGCTTGCTGCTGGAGTCCGGCTGATCAGGACTGAGATGGGCCGGACATGCCCTAGAGCCCTCCCACGGTCCCTCCTCGGCTGGCCAACCTCCCGTGTCCCTCCCCGGCCCTGATCATGCACCAATGGGTTCCCTTGGCCTTCCCCCCGGCCAAGTGCACAAATTTCGTGCACCGGGCCTCCAGTATAATATATTGTTATTGATTTCAGAGAGGAAGGGAGAGGGAGAGAGAGAGAGAAACATCAATGATGAGAGAGAATCATGGATCAACTGCTTCCTACATACCTCCTCACTGGGGATCGAGCCCACAACCCGGGCCTGTGCCCCTGACCAGAATCGAACCCAGGACCCCTCAGGCCACAGGCCGATGCTCTATCCACTGAGCCAAACTGGCTGGGGCTGGCTGTGTCTTGAAGCAGGCTGCTTCTCCTGGGAAGGGAGAGGGGACACCCCGGTGCCCTGTGCTGGTGCAGTGGGCCACGGTCCAGCCGCCAGCACACTGGTCAGGCGCCCAGCTCCAGGCATTATATGTGGCATTGGTGGCTTTTATAAATCTGGGATCCAAACTGGCAACAATTTTTTTTTTCCAAATCCAGCCTTGGCGAGGGGGCGTGGGTACTACTCTCACCCCTGAGCCATGAGGTGCGTGCTTTGTTTGAGGGGGACATGTAACGATTTGCCTCAAAACAAACCTGCCTCTAGGAATTCACGGAAGCCTGTGCGAAGACTTGTGTACCCGGATGTCCATGACAGCAACATTTCTCATCCCAATCAAATAAAAAACAACCTCACTGACCAACACCAGGCATTGGCTCCATAGAGCATGGTCTATGCTGCCATTTAAAACGATGTTGTAGCCCTGGCCGGCTTGGCTCAGTGGATAGAGCATCCGTCAGCGGACTGAAGCGCTTGGGAAACATACTCTGGTAGATTAGGAGGCTGGGACATGTATACAAACACAGAGAATAATAAAATAAGAAAACCACAAAATGCGTGCTATTGGATATACACTGCAATACATGTGGTGTCAGATGCCATCTGTGTAAGAATATGGGGCCCATAGGAATGATGCCACTTCAGATGATATTCACTAGTTTGGCTAATATCCTCGTTGCTCTTCTGCAGTTCTGACCAACTGGACACAAATCCTGGTGTTCTCATGATTCCCATCAGATTTGATAATTCATTTGC